AGGGTGTTATTTTGAAGAGAGCCTCTCCCTGAAATTATCTCTTAACCTAGAAAGAGTCTGGGTCAGACACCATTGTCCACTCTCCTGGGCACATGGATGGCACATGATATGCCCCTTGTAGCGCGGGTTTGGGCTCACCAGATGTTCAGGACTGATTCCAGGCACGTGGTGGGGAGGCCCAGCCTGCTGTGGATCTTATCAGGTGCCTTCTGTGTTGCTTGGGGTGGGAGGAGGACACACAGCTCTCTGTGTTGGGTTGGGTGGGTCTTGTGGATGCTCAGAGCAAGACTGATATTAATAACTGGCATTAATAAAATGGGATTTGTGTCCAGCCTATGCACACTGGTTAGGACCCGACTGCTTGTGTTTGAATCCTGGCTCCACCACTTGCCCACTGTCACTTGGACACGTTTTTTAACCTCTTAAGCTCCAGATTCATCTGAAAATGAAGAGTAAAACACTGACTTCTTCACAGGGTTGTTGGAGGGATTGAATGAATGAATCCATGTAAAATGTTTAAGACAATACCTGCCACATAGGAGGTACGCAGGTTTATTATTATAATTATTGTTAATATTTTCATATAATGAGAAAGCTGGCTTCCACAATCAACATGTATGCCCACCCAAGTGGTGAGGAAAAAAACACTGGCCTTGCAAATCCCTTAGCAAGAAGCATTCTTGCAAGATCTCTGTCTGGAACTTGAACGTGACCAGGATTCCTACTGAATATTGTAAATTGGTGTTCATGGCCATAGGCCAGAATCCTCACCTAGTAACTGTTTGGGAGCTAGCTGAACATAGGGCAGAGGAGGGCCATTGTGTTCTATGGAACAAGGAAACACTTCAAGACATTACATTTGAAAACTCAAATGTGTTAACTGCATTAACTTGGGTGCTTTATTTTCTGCAGAAATAGAGAGAACTCTGTTTAAATTCAGCTCCCTGGAGAACTAGAATTTTATAATATCTATCTTCCAAACCTAAATTTTCAGAATTAGTAGGCACGATGCCCCAAGGTCAAGGCCAATTTGCAGCCTCTTGATTATTGTTCTGGTATAATTTCCCCTACTCCATGTTAAGGGAAGTTCATGAAATTGGCCCTCAGGGTTCACTTTCAGATTTCCCTGGCCCCTTTCTCACTACTCTCCTTTAATTTTGTATTAAATACACAATAGGTATTTTTGCATTCTAAATACAAAATTATAATATTAAATGTACTGTACTTTTTCACGCTACACAGGCCCACAATCCTGCCCTCTTCCAAAGTTTCATTATGTCCCCTTGGGAGTTGAGACTATTCAGTCTATAATGTCATAAGAAGGCCTATTTAACAAGCCTGGGGCAGACAGTTCCACGATCATATTTCTGTTTTTCATAATCATTAATAAGAGAGGCAGCTCCTTAATCAATAAATATTCAGCATCTAACGTAAAAAGCTCTGTAGTATAGTTCCTGCCACAAAGACTTAACAGCAGACTCTTCTGGTGTCCCATTACCAGGTAGTAAAATCAACACAGACCAAGTTTTTCTACTTTTAGTGGAGAAAATAAAATTCACTCAAGTAGAGTAAACAGGATAGAAAGAAAAGGCAAGTATATCAGAATGCATCTGTCCATAAGGGTAGTGTATTATAATATTTTGTGAATCTTTGTTTCAATCCCATGTATGTGTATGATAGAACATGATGTAAAATGTATTTCTTGTTATGGATTGTGATTTTGAAAAAGTGTGAAGAACACTGCCTGGCAGTATGTTCGGAAACACAAAATTATGTCATTGAGATCTCAAATGGCAAGGAGGAGGAGGAGATGGAGAGCTGCATGGGTCTGTACGGGAAAGGATGATGACCTTGCGACAGAGCTGTCACACACAGAGTTATGATGAAGAGAAGGGAGCACCGCCAGGGAGGAGGGGTTGTGGGGAAGTGACAGTGGCTGTGCATTCAGGGGAGCGGGAGATACAATTTAGTGAGATGAGTTGGGGAGAGGAATGGCGCCTGGGAGCACAGTGTGAACAGAACGATTCTGATTCTTCTTGAATGGCAGCCCTGCTGCTGGAATGAGGCAAATCTCAGGGCCTTAGAGTTTTGTGGGATTGTTGTATTTCTTTGTTTCCTCCTTTCCAATTTTTTCTTCCCTTTTTCTGGATCTCCTGTTATTCAGATGTTGGATCTCTTGGCTTGATCCTCTGATTTTTCTTTTCTATTTTCTACTTCTTTGCCTTTTTACTTGACTCTCTGGAAGAGTTCCTTCAATTTTATCTTCCAACCTTTGTACTAAAATTTTTTTTTATGTCTGTTATATTTTTAATCTCTAAGAGCTCTGAACATTCTCTTTTTATAGCATTTGGGGAATGTTCTCGGTGGTTTTGGAGGCAATATCTTTTCTTATCTCTTTGAGAATATTGGATATATGAAGTTTTTTCTGCTGTCTCTACATCTGTAAGAAATCCCAGAATCTATTTCTCATGATCCTTCATACTCAGGCCTGTCTCTTCTACCCTAACACCATACCCAGGCTAGTTACAGAAAGTTCCTTAGCAGTTTGTGCCCTTGTAACTGGACTAATTACTGCTTCTAGAAGAATACAGATTGCCACTTTATATCTCTTCAGCATTGTGTATTCTCCTTCTGTAGGAAGAAGTGAACTATGAGGAAAGGACCTGTGAAGGCGGGAAGTTTGCCACAGTGGAAGTGACAGATAAGCCTGTGGATGAGGCTCTACGGGAAGCAATGCCCAAAGTCGTGAAGTATGTGGGAGGCACCAATGACAAGGGTGAGTATCGCCAAAGGATGTGACTCTGGTCTCAGAGGCGAGCCTTGCACGGTCTCACTTCATCAGTAGAAAACACAAGGCACTTGTCACTACCTGTTTCGATGGCATGTGAACTTGCCATGCTGCATAAGCAAGGAAGCTCGGGGAGACCACACTGACTTCAGCCCAGCCTACCCTCACTCTGTAGTATCCCTGCTCAGTAACAGCGAGTTCATGCTTTTCTGCCAGGTGTGGAGACTTATGCTCTGTTTTTTTTTGTTGTTGTTGTTGTTTTGTTTTGTTTTACCCTACAATGCTTATTGTGTCTTTGGATGGGTGGACTGGGTTCCCCCAGTAAGCCAAGCCACAGAGTGAAGGTCAGCCTCTGACCTAAGACCTCTGCTCCCAGACTGGAAATCTCTCGACTCAGACCCATTCTGCAGGGTACTGAGGCTCGGTGAGTGATGAGTGTGGCTGGTACCTGGCTCCGTTCGGACAAATGAAGGGTCTGAGAATTCTTAGATTGTCCCACCCCTAAGGGCTTGGCAGTCCATACTGGCTGCCTCCCTATTTTTAAAATGATAGGCCTGAAGTTTCAGTGTACCTGTTAGCATGTAAAATATTTAAATATGAATTTGACTGTTAAGCTCTCTCATTTAAACTACACGTTGGAGTCACTGCAAACCTAAAATGGGTCAGAAAGCAAGGTGAAACAAGATAATCATGTTTAGTTTTTAGTTTTAGTTCTCAAGCTGATAATTTAGAAAGTTAGAAGCTGGTATTAATCTTAGTAACATTTACTAGGACCAAAGTCATCAGGCTTTGGACAGTAAGTCGACCAGTAGGAGGTCAAGAAGAAATCTTTTCCTTCTTAACACTGTCATAACATTTTTTTTAGAAGAAAATAGATGTAAAACTTGTAAAACTCATTAAAGAAAATCTTGAAAGTAACATACCATCACCTCTCATCCATCTTTTCTAGTACAATCGTTTTCTTTTTAATGTATTTCTTTAGGGCTTTTCAAAAGGCTTTTTAAATGTAATCATAGTGTTTGTGCAATCGTATATCCTGTTTCTGTTACTTATTTCATGACTATTTTCCACTGTTGCTAAATAGTCTTATGCATAATTATTTCTAACTTCTTTATATTGAATCATGTGCCTATAATTTACTTAGACATATTCCTGTTTTCAGCCTATTTATATGGCTCACAATTATAATTTCTGCTGCAATGAATATCCTATTACTTATAGCCTTTTCTATATTGTATTTTGGATATTTCCTTAAACTTGGTAGTATTTAGATAGGAAGTAATTAGATACTGATGTATTTAACAGTCTTGATATATGTATACAGTTGAATCACTACACTCCTACTTCCATTATATATAAATTGAAGGTGTTTTATGTGTCTGACTATATATTTTTAATGCCTCAAATATTTATTTTTAGTTTCATAAACAAAAAATATTGTCTTGGAAGAAGAGTGAGACTAGCAGGTCTTCCACAGGCCTGAGCAAGTTCTGTCACTCATATCCACCTCACTCTATGGGTTTTCCTGTTTTTCAGGAATTGGGATGGGGATGACAGTTCCGATTTCCTTTGCCGTGTTCCCCGAGGAAGATGGCGCCCTACAGAAGAAACTGAAAGTCTGGTTCCGGATTCCAAACCAGTTTCAGAGCAACCCACCAGTTCCCAGTGATGACAGCGTTAAGATTGAAGAAAGGGAAAGCATCACTGTCTATTCCATGTAAGGAGACCATTCTTTAGGCATCTAAGGGTAACGCTTGGTTTCCATAACCACTCCTTGAATCATCTGCAGTGACCATTTGCATTAAATTTATTGTTTTTTCAGTTCTATTGAGGTATAATTGACATAACATTGTATTAGTTTAAGGCAGAGGTCAGCAAACTACGGCTCACGAGCCACATGCAGCTCTTTGGGTACATTCAGTCTCAAAAGTTTGCTGACCGCTGGAAGAGCCAATCCTGTCCCTCACAACAATTTAAAAATTATTCAAGAGCCATAAATATATTTTTACATAATCACCATTATTTGAATAATATCCTTTAAAATTTTTATGAGTGAAACTATGATAGTTTTATTTTCATTTTCAATTTTTCTTCAGAGCCTGCGGCTCACGAGCTGCAGTTTGCTGACCCCTGGCAGCTCTTCCGTCTCAAAAGTCTGCTGACCCCTGGTTTAAGGCATACAACATATTGCTTTGATATATGCATATATTATGAAACAATTATCACAGTAAGTTTAGTTAACATCCATCACCTGACAAAGTTACAAAAATTGTTTCTTTGAGATGAGAACTTTTAAGGTCTACTCTCTTAGTAACTTTCAAATATACAATACAGTATTGTTAACTGTAGTCACCTTGCTATACACTACATTCCCAGAACTAATTTGTCTCGTAGCTGGAAGTTTGTACCTTTTGACCACCACCCACTTCTCCCACACCCCACCTCTGGCAACTACCAACCTGTTCTCTGTATCTACAAGTTCGTTTTTTTAATTCCACACGTAAGTGAAATCGTACAGTATTTGCCTTTCTCTCTCTGGCTCATTTCATTCAACATGATGCCCTCAAAGTCCATCCATGTTGTCGCAACGGCAAGATTTCCTTCTTTTTTATGGCTGAATAGAATTCCATAATGGATAATCTTCTTTATCCATTCATCTGTACATGGACTTGTAGGTTGTTTCCACATCTTGGCTATTGTAAATAATGCTGCAGTGAACATGGGGGTGCAGATATCACTTCAAGATAGTGATTTTATTTTCCTTAGATATATACTCAGAAGTGGAATTGCTGGATCATACGGTAGTTCTATTTTTAATTTTTTGAGGAACTTGCATACTGTTATCCATAGTGACTACACCAATTTATATTCCCATCAATAGTGCACAAGTGTTCTCTTTTCTCCACATCCTTGCCAACACTTGTTATTTTTGTCTTTTTGCTAATTGTCATTCTAACAGGTGTGAGGTGATATTTCACTGTAGCTTTGATTTGCATTTCCCTGATGATTAGAGATGTTGAGCATCTTTTCATGTACCTATTGGTCATTTGTGTGTCTTTTTTGGGAAAATGTCTATTCAGATCCTCTGCTCATTTTTCGATTGGATTGTTTGGCTTTTTTGCTATTGAGTGATGTGGCTTCTTTATATATTTGGATATTAACCCCTTATCAGATTTGCAAATATTAAACACTTATCAGACTTGCCCCTTATCAGATTTTCCCCTTATCAGTTTAACCCTTTATCAGATTTGCAAATATTTCCTTCTTAAATATATACTCATAATAGTTTATTTACTAAATTTCAACAGTAATTTATTAATGTTATAATATAAAATACCCAGTGTTCAGATTTCTTCCATTATCTCATAATTTGTTTTTACAGTTTGTTTGACTCTGGATCCAAAAAAGTTCCATCCATTAAAATTGGTTGGCACATCCTTTAAGCTTTTATTAATCCGTAGCTTTCCTCACCACCACACCTTTTCATTTTTTTCCTGTTACTTACGGGTCATTTGTCCTATTGTTTCCCACAGACTGAATTTCTCTGCTTGCCTTTCTGTGGCTTTTTCATGTATTCCTCTGCCTCCTGTATTTTCATAAATTAGTAGTTGGAACTAGAGGCTTGATCAGATTCGGGTTTGAGTTTTTTGCAATGATATTTCATAGGTGGTGTCGTATTCCTCCATCAGGGGCTCCTAACGTCTGCTTAGCTCTGTTTTTGTGATGTTAGTGGCTATAGATCACCCTCACCTAGATGCCTTGTTTCATTAGAGGTTGTAAAATGATAATGTCCTCTATTTTTCCTTCTTCATTTATTAGCTGGAATATTTTGATAATGAGAAACTTCCTCTCATCTACTATCTGGTGCCGCATGAGTTACAGTCATAGAGAAAAAGCAAGATACCTTCACTTTAGCTTGATACCACCTTCTGTTTATTAATCAGTTTTCAGGACAATGATTTCATTCCTTAACATCCTCCAAAGGTGACATAGTATTGATCTCTATTTTTTTGAATATCAATATAAACATCTGAATTTAAATATAATTGGTACATTTCAGTTCTTTGCAGTCATTATTCTTATTGATGCTCAAATTGCCCCATCTTTGGCCAATGGGAGGCTTTTCAAGTTGGTTTCTTAGTCTTTTTGACATGACTCTAGTAGTCTATCGTAGCTTTCTTGCTTTCTGGTATGTTTCAAGCATATCTTGACATTCCTCACTCTACAGCTGGAATTAGCCATTTCTCTAAGGAACCCTGGAGCCTTATGGTGGGAAAGGGTGTCTATTAAAAGGTGCTATCAAAGCCAGGTCTGTGGAACTTTTCTTTTAATTCTCTGAAATCTAAGCAGATGAAAGTGACAACTATAGCGTCCAACTTGGCTCAGAGAATTTTTTTCTAACCTAAAGTATGGTCCTAAGTTAGCATATGATCATTCCTCAATGAGCCACTTGGTGTCACTGCACAGTCAAATGTGCATTTAAAAGTGCCTCACTGTGGAAGGCAGCATGAATGAGGTGGAAGGCAAAAGCACTATTTCCAGGACACCATGAGTGCACCACACTGACAACATTAATTCTCAAAGGAAAGCCTGGCATCCTTAATCCAGTCTTTCTTTCCTGTGACCCTGTGAAAGGTGTCCACAAAGGAATTATACGTTTATTCACGGTATTAATTACAAGTGCTTTTTAAATGAATAGAAGGCTACGAAAAAATAACATTATCAGACTATTTTTTATTTTCACAAGAGGTGGTAGAATTACCCTCACACTGAGGTGAGTGGTCACATGCCAGTACGCGGTCCCCGCTCTGTGCTCTATAAAGACCACTTAGGTTAGGGTTCAGCCTCCTCTATGCATTTCAACACTGGCTTCTCAACAGAGATCAACAGCAGGGAAGGTTTGATGATTTTAAAGAAACTTCCACAGTTTTAATGAAATGTCTGGGTATAAAGGAAAGTGTTGGGAACACGCACTCCATTGTCAGAGCGACCTACGCTCCAGCTCCAGCTCTACTGTTTAACGGCTAGAACCTTTGGCCTGTTATTGAGCCTCTCTGTGCCTCAGTTTCCTCATCTTTCAGATGGGGGTAAGAGTACCAAGTCCATAAGGTTGTTGTGAGGATGAAATATGACATCTGTCAATGCCTACACAATGCTAAACGTGAGACACACACTCAGTAAATGTCCTCTTCTTGACGTCACCTCCCTCTGAGAATTAAAGTTTTCTTAGAATTAACAACAAAAAGATTTTGTTACTACAGACACCCTTGAGTCTAAGCCTCAACTCTAATAATTAGGAGTTTTATAAGTTTGGGCTT